CAGGCAGTTATAACATTTTAGATAAATTACTCTTGTAGTGAGATTTCTATATTTACTTTTATTACAAAGGTGACTATTACTTACATTTTATAAAATGCTGCTTTATATGCATTATGGAATTTTTCAAATGTACTTTAAAGCAAGAACAATGTGTTTTTAGAGTCTTAGACATGCCATTTACCTACCCTTCCTTGAGGCCATTGAGATATTGGGAGAAACTGGTTTAAAAGCCATCATTGCAGGGAATGGATAATCTATGTTTGCATGCTTTTTTTACTTCTAATTTTACTTTTTCCTCATACTACTAAGAAAAATCACTAAGATATGCTTTGAATAAAAATAAGTGCAGCTGTGTTTGTTTCAATGACTAAATTCACCAAGAGCTGTAGGTTTGCACTGATGGAGGCATGATAACCCATTTGGGGAGAAACGTTCATTCTCTCACAGCGGAGGGAAATGAAGAGGGAATGGTGCTCAACATTGGAAGCTTTTCAGGGTGGCGCATCTGCACGTGCATAATCCAGGAAAGCCAAGAGGAGGGAAGCATGAGGGACTGCTGAGGCAAAGAGCCATGTCCACTTTTTCACACACTTGTATTTTAACATTTGACCCTTTCACTATTTCTTCTCAGTCTGCAGAATCAGTGTGCTGCCTTTGAAAGTAACAACTTACAGCAGTGACTCTTCTATATCTGTTCTAACAACAAATTGTTCTACAGCAATTGTGATGGTGGTTACATGCCCTATGTATATGTCAAAATTCACAAAACTGTACACTTAATAGGATGAATGCTACTCTATGTAAATATCTTCATTAAAAATTTGTATCTAGTAACTATATATGTGTACACACACAAATGATTGTCAATGTATGCATACACAAATATGTGTATATTCAAAGCCTACATTTAGTTATTGCTCCTCGCTGTAACAACAGACAGATAAAATTTTACTTCCACACTTTGAGGTGGATAATTTAATAACTATTATTTTTTATAAAATACCTAGAGAAGAAAGATTTTAGTTTGGCAGAACATGTTAGCTTATTATCTTTGAGAATGTGACTAAATTTTTACTGTATTATTGTGTAACCCAATCTTCAAGCTGAGATTTAGCATATCATTTAAGGTATACTAACAGAGATTTAATACATCTTTTAAGTTATTTTTCTCCTAGAGATTTACAATGTTATAAAGAAAATGCATAGTTATAAAATAAATACATTGCTCATTGCATTGTATTTGGCTTTAATTACAAACCCTTTGAAAGTAGGAACCATAACATCTATAATTCCACTTCTTTCCATACTCCCAATACAGTGTCTTTCAAATACTAGATTCATCCCAAAATAGTTATACTACTGTGTAAAGTAATAACTTAAGGTAATAGGGGTGTAGTAAGCAGTGCTCTGCAATATATGCTACTAGAATTTTTTAAAATAATATGGATTGCATTTAAAAATACCCCAAATGTTCTGACGACACAAACTCTTTAAATTCTTCAGAAGTTTCTTTAGGATGGGCAGGTGACGTGGTATCTCTTAGTATGCTTGCAATTTGGATGAAACCATCAGAAAGCCTAATTAGCAATGATTTCTACCTCAAACCTGAAGACAATTAAACAGACCATCATACTTTAAAACTTATGCCTTTATAAGGTGCGCATTTCTTTCCCCATTTCTTGATTGTCTCTTCACCTTGAGAGCAGATGAAGCAAAACATGAAAAAGCATTGTTTTAAATTTGAAATATCAAATTTAAACTTTATAAATTCTCTCATAGAATTTATCAGCACTACAGCTGATAAATAAATCAGCACTACCGCTATAAAATGGGCTGGCATTTCTCCAACTTCTAATTTTTTCCACAGCCCATGAATTTTCCAATGTGGGATCTATTGATTTTTCTGGTCTATAATGTTCAGTATGTATTACCCTAACATAGCAACAAAACTTGAATTGACATGACAAATTTAGTTAATAACAACATGCATTATTATCAATGAAATTAGAAGCTCAGAGCAGAATCATGTTCTGAAAGGTAAATATGTCAAGATTGAGCCAGTTCTAAAAAAAAGTACTTGAGATTGAATGTGCACTGTAAATACTGAAATATTTTAAAAGCCCAATATACGGACCTTATTAAAAAATGGGAAATTGAAATAAAGATTCTGAACAGCGGCACAGCATTTGTTTCTTAACCTTTGTGTGTTTAAGCTACCTTACATCATTCCTCACTAATGCAATTTCTACCATTAATGACTCAGTGACAAAATGCAAGCCATCAACAATGCCAACCAAGACTAATGAAGACTGTTTGATGATTTGCTTAATTATGAACATGATTTATCACTGTGGATGGACTTACTAGTGATCTGTGCCATATCCTTTTGTCCTGGTGAAGCCTACAGATGTGGCCACTACTAGTGCTGGTAAACCTGTAAGAAAAGCAATGCCACACTTCATATTCAGCTATAACAACTGTGCATATTGGTCCAAAAAAGCCAGGACAAACTCCAGATGCTTAAATCAGAGCAACTACCTTTGGACGAATCACTTAACAAAGTACGTTTCCATTGCAAAATTTCTTTCATGTACAAAAACACAACAGTGACACCTGAGTTTTTAACTTACTATACTTCTCTGATGTTGCTAGGTTACCACCACATTTGACATGGGTTTAAAGGGAAGTAATAAGAGAGATTTAGTATATCTTTTAAGTTATTTTTTCCCCAGGGGTTTACACTGTTATAAAGGAAATTTATAGTTATAAAATCAGAAAGGCAAAAACTGGATGTTCTGGAGTGATGGAAAATCACTGAAGTGGAACATTCAGTTGGCCACATATTGATCCACATCAAGTTGTACTTATAATAAGATGGAAAAATAAATATTATCAGTTAGCCATTTCTTTATAGTTTACTTATAATAACAAGAATGTAGAAACGGGGAATTCAATTACCGTCATACCTGCACCTATTCTGACTTAATGTCTTTTTTTAGTTTATTTTTATGTGAATCACACTTACCTCAATGGAACCTCCCTATGCTTTGGTAAATAGAGCTCTGTCTAATCTATGCTGTTGAAAGTTTTTTTTAAGTTTTGGTCATGCTTTTTTTCAGGAGCATCATGTTTGCTTTTTCAGATTGAAAAAGCCATCATCTAATCATCTTGCATTCTCTCGGCCCATCTTCTTTCTTCCTGTCACTTCCCATCCTTCCTGCTGTTCTCTCTTCTGTGAGTCTGCTGCAGTGACATCACCTTCCTTCAAGAGGCTTAATGACAAGAACTATGGAGGATATCTCAGAGGGACACACCGTATTTTTGAATAAATGCTGGTGACCATATATAGCATAAATTATATTAATATATATAATTATATATAACTATATATGATATATGTAATATACATTCTCTTCCTGTTCTTCCTCCTCTTCTTCATCTTCCTCCTTCATATATATCATTTGTTGACTTTTTTGATTGACTGGACCAAGTTCATCAGAAAAAAAATATTCTCTCCTGGATCATAACTGAAAAATTAGTCTTTTTTTCATACAATCTGGATTAATTTTTTTTCTAAATTCATTATGTTGCACTTGTCCATAATGACACTCATTTGCCACAATTCTGCCCCCCACAGACTTCCTGGTAGTCTAGAACCATCAGTTTAGCTTTTTGATACCCACAGTAGTTTATTATTAGCTGTCAACTTGGAGACTAGCTGCAAACCCTCTCCTCAAGATCCTTAGCAAAAATTTTAAATAAGGTAGTTACTAATCCTGCAAATCACCACTCTTTATTCTTCATCAAAAATGTGTTCCTTTACCTGCATTTTCTATTTCTTGGACCTACAGTACAAGTCATGATTCATGACAAAGGTGTCCCTTGATTCAATACTAGCTCAGCTTTAGAAAGTCTTTGTCATGGCATCTAGACAAAAGTTTTACCAAAGTCTAAGCAAAACACATCTGTGAACTTTCTTCTTAACTTCTTACCCACTTGCCTAGCATAAAGTTTTATTTAACACATTAGTTATACACGATAGACTCTTGCTGAAACCTGACGGGTAATCTTTAAATGTTCTTGATCCTATTTTTCCAGCATGAATGATTCTGGTATTGTAATGAGTCCACTTAATTGTAGTTTCCCAGGTTCTCTCTAGCATCCTGTTCTCCAGTTTCCTGATACAATAAGTATTTGTTACATAGTTGGTCTAATTTTCTAGGGGTCCTTTAAAATACAAAGGTAAACGTGAAAAATATTTCTGAAACTAGTTTCTTAAATTAACTAGGCTATCATTAGAATTGGCTCTATGGTATAGATTTTTGAGATGTCCAAGTCATGAGGTAATTTGAGAGAAACTTTTCCTATTAATGGAAACTTTTCCATTAAATAAAGATTTAATGAATTCTTAGTCTGTAAGCAATTCTGTTTCTACTTTTGAGAAACCCACTGACTAGCTGCAATGACTAGTCTTACTCTACATGGGTTTCTCCCTGTGATATTTATTCCTTAATTTTTTTGAGAATTCTTGCAATGGAATCTCAAAGTTTTCTTAACAGGGAGTACATGCCTAGTGAACCATCATGCTGTGGGCTCTGAACATGCTAAAACATTTGCATTTTCAGAAAATATTAACAGAGAGCACTTTGTTTTTCTGCCTGTACATATCTCAGGTCTCATCTCACACTATGTAGGCATTGTTGATTGCTAACTGAGTAGCTACGTGGCTATTCAATACTTACTCCTTTTTAAAGTTCCAAATGACCAATGAATGTTCAATAATGACCACCCTTATGTATTTCCACTTTCATATATCAAATTAGACACAAAGTAGCCTGGAGATAATCACTCTCTGCTGCTTCATAATATAAGGGTTCAAAGTCATTTTAACAAGAGCATGAAAGGGTATATTAATATGCTTACCCCATCCAAGACACAAAAAGCGTTTCCGTATAAGCCGTGTCCTGATTTTTCCAGTTACAGCCATATATGATTGCCACGCCTCAGTCAAAACCCAACAGAATGAAGCCAGGAAGAAAAAGTGCAAAAATGCAGTGGTGGTTGTACAGATGCTCTGTGGAAACAAACAAAAACAGACTCACACTGAACCTATTTGGGGTGAGTGATCAGGAAATCATGTGTCCTTCAGAGGATTGTTAATTTTTGACTCATTGTTTTTATTTCAAATATCTACCTCTTTTCTAATTTACAGAAATTAGAAACCCTATACTCTTTATGCTGTGTTCAATATCTATGGTAGAAAAATTATATATCCTAATTCCATTTGTGCATTCAGTTTTTTTTAAAGAAGAGAATTCTGAATATAAATTTGAACTCAAGGGAGATTAAAATTACTGCTTTACTGGAATTTTTTCCTTGAAATATAATTAAGAGAATTGTGGGTTGTTTGTTTTTTAGTTTAAGTTACAGACATCTTGCATAATTATTTTGGCTACATTCTTTATTCTTCCTTTTTAACTGATTTTTTTTGTTGTTGTTTCATCTGTGTTGATGTTAAGATTGTATTGCAAGTGCAACAGCCTTTCAAATGGAAAAATTACTTTGCTTTTTATATGTGTGTAATATTTAAGATATAACAGCAAAGTACAAAAATGAGGTTTGGCTAATAGCCTAGTACAAAAATAACATATGTATTTTAAAGTACTTAATACATTGCTTCTCTGTTATTACATTGCAATGCGTGTCTTAATCAAATCATTTGAAAAGCTAATTGACTCACTGGCAGGGCACAGCTATGATTTTATAGATATTTTTCTTCATGCAACTTAATCATTTTGAATGTGCTGACCATTAATTGTAACACATCTGCAAAATATCAGCAGCTTCATTTTGGTAAAGGTTGCTACTTTTTTCATAATTGATATAATTTCTTTGTGTAAATCTTGCTGAAATGCAAGTCTTTATAAACCAGAACCAGTAGCAAAACTAATTTCTTCCTTCATCATTCTCAGTCTTGCTGTTTTCAAAAACTGAAAATGTCAATACAAAGATAGTAGAATTAAATAAAAAAACAAACTCAATACAAAGAAATAAAAATATAACTCCTATCTTCCCACTTCTACCCCAATCCACTGCTCATGCTGAACATCTTATTAGAATTTTTATTTTTTTGGCCCAAATTATTCATATTATTTGTTTATTCCATTGAAATTTGCCAGACAATAATTTAGCTTTCCAGTTTTTCTAATTCTTTAAAAGGAACTTTTGCATGTTTATCTCACCAGGTTGTTTTAATGATGAGAGAGAATGTATAGAAGCTGAGTAGTACTGTGCTTGGTATATAGCAAGTGCTCAACCAATTATGACTATTATCCTTATTATTATAAGCAATGCTAAAAAAAGGTATTACCATTTTTCAGCATGTGGTCCCTTATTTAATGTAGTACTTAGATCTACTTAGCACTTAAGTCGATGCTTACAAAGATGATAAAATCATGGGTTTCTTGAATGCTCTTCCTCATACCTATGCTCCCATCTCAGGTATAATGTAGCAGCTCTAACCACTTGTAATTCCTCTTATACTTGAGGCATTGAGACTCGTTTTTTCCCAAGTTAAGGTTTAAATATCTGCAGGCTTACTGCTTTGCTCATTCTTGATCTGTAGTCCCTGATCTCTATTTGAATTTCAAAGATAACTCTTCTATTTAATATCCAAAGACTATTTACCATTTCCAATTCACATGTCATGTCCTTCCACCAGTTCCCTTCATCTCAATTTTATGTGCTTGCAAAGCTATCCCTTCTTTATTTTAAAACTATCAATAAAGAGTTATATAAAACACTGTAAAAATGTTGAAATGTTAGACTCTAAGTCCTGGATGCATTGAAATGTCATACAAAATAATGAAGTGCACAATGTCTAAACACAGAATTTTTAAAATTTGTTCTCTCTATATTGTGTTTGTTACTTTGGGACTTGCTGGTATTCACTTTAGTTCTAACACAAACTGAAGAACATATAATTTGGGGCTACTGACATTCATTTCAATAATGCATGTCTCTCTGGACAATAATATGGCCACAGCCTGTGGCAGGAAATGTATTGTAACTAAAGAAGTAAGGACTATTTCTACAGGCAGTAGAGTTCGACCATGGCTAGACAAATATTCATGTATGTCTTGAAAGTGCTCCAAATACGAAGGTAAGCTGTCTAAAACTAAAGGATGTGCACATGTGAACCCTAAAGACATCTAAAGTCACAAAACTAACCTTATATGAAGAGTACAGGAAAATCTATGATTTTGAGAAATAGAGAAAGTGAGTCACATTTTGCTTCATCATCATGTGACGAATCAGTATAAAATCAAACACTTAACACAATGAAACACGTGTATTGTTTTGATATGTTTGCTAAGTTGTAACAATGCACGTAGTCTTTTTAAAATATCACTTTTATAAATAGGAATTTTTAAATGAACTTTATGATTTTCCACATATGGCACGTCAACTTCCACAAGATTGGCCTTTCTAATGTTCCAGACTCAGAAGTCTTTGATCTTGTCTTTTACATAACGTAAATCCCACATCAGCAAATTCCCAAAGATTAACCATCCTCAGTACTAGGGCTTTTTTTCACTGAGACACCTCAAACTCTGATCGTCCTTTTCTATAAACAGGCTTATATTTTGGTACCTTTTCAATTACGGATACCACTCGATCCACTGTTGTGACCTCTGGTCTTATAGCTTTTCCTCATGCAGCCTTCACGCATACACTCTTGACTGCCACGATAGCTGAGTGCTCACAGTTCACCACTACAAACGTGAGACTTACTAGCACCTCAAGTTCATCATCCAGTTCTGATCTATCCGCTTTGTCAAAACCCAATATGGCCTCATCAGTGTTACAGCTGATGAGTATAATTGACAAATATTGCAAAACTTAAAATGGATTTAAGTTGGCACACAGAGCACTGTTTTTTTTTTTTTTTTTTGAGACAGAGTCTCACTCTGTTGCCCGGGCTAGAGTGCCATGGCGTCAGCCTAGCTCACAGCAACCTCAAACTCCTGGGCTCAAGCAATCCTTCTGCCTCAGCCTCCCGAGTAGCTGGGACTACAGGCATGCGCCACCATGCCCGGCTAATTTTTTCTATATATTTTTAGTTGCCCGATTAATTTCTTTCTATTTTTAGTAGAGACGGGTCTCGCTCTTGCTCAGGCTGGTTTCGAACTCCTGATCTCAAACAATCTTCCTGCCTCGGCCTCCCAGAGAGCTAGGATTACAGGCGTGAGCCACTGCGCCCGGCCCAGAGCACTGTTTATACCTGTCACCCTCATACCCCCGACACTCCAAATCCTTAGAGACAGCAGACAAGATTTCTCAAAATAACCGGAAAAAAAAAGTATAAACTACTAGAGACTGTGAGAAATCCCATAAAAATGAAGGCATATGAGAACAGATTAAAGATGGATACCATATCCCAAAGCTAGATGTTAGGAGCAGGAATTAAGACATGGAAAGTAGAGAAGAGTTAGGATACATGGATGACACAGCAGTTCTGATCTATGTTTAAAAGTACTTCCCAAAGGAAGAGACAGAGAACATCGGGGGAAAGATAGCATTTAAAGAAAGAACATGGGGAAATAACTCAGCACTTTAAAAATTCTTCTGGCTGTGGGATAAAAATGAAACACAAGCACACAGAGATATATTGTGATGAAATACATGAACATTGAGAACAAAGAGAAAAATCTTAAAAGCTGTCAGAGAGAAAAGAAAGATTACTTACACAGAAATAAGAATCAGATGACATCAGATTCCTTGTGAGCAACCCAGGATACAAGAAGGCAGTGGAATAATATCCTCAATGTTCTAAGGGAAAATAACTTTGAAGATAGAATTCTACACTCAGCCAAACTATTATTAAAGTGAGAGGCTGAAATCAAAATATTTTTAGAATTGAAAGGAACTTTGAAGTTTATTACCTCAAGACGCTCTCTGAAAGAATTGCTAGATGATATACACCATTAATAAGAAGAACTTCAAAAGCAGGGAATGAGATAAAAGATGTGATCAATATTAAAAAAGTAATAAAATCTATTAAGTACAAATAACTGTTTAATGTACACAAATATAAATATAATTGTTAAAATATAGCCACCCGGATATAAAACGCAAAATAATATCTGGGAGGGTTAAAAGATGAGAGGGATGAGTGTTGCAAGGGAGCGGAGGAAAATAAAAGTATTCTAAGCCTTTTTGGTGTTTTTTGTTCTCAGGGATATTAGAGATACTGATTAACTCAAGATGATAGAAAAATACATTTGAACATTTATGGTAAAAATGTTAAAGTAATGATAAAAAGTAGAAAAAGTAATATATTTTTAAAATAGAAGA